AAACGCAAACAAAAGCAGAACTGAATGTCAAATTATTAGTAAGGTCAATGCACAACTGTTGTTTATAATTTATTCTTTTTAAAATGCATTTTCTCGCCACTTTTTTACAAGTGTTATTTAGAAGTACTTTTCAAAAAAGTTATCTAATGTAAATAGAAATAAAAATTAACATTTTTGTACAGAAAAATTTGAAAGGAATTTTCAGCTACAATCTCGTACAATCTATATTCACTCGAAACTAATTACAACTATCGTAAAGTTTTTATTTATGAAGTATTTATTTAAACTGTTTCCTTTCCATAAAATGTTATTCCAAATCCTATACTTTTAATTCTGATTTTTCCAAAAGTTTTGAAATTTACGAAACTACAAACAGATACTTCTGAAATTGGTTTCGCAGAGGAATAAGATTAATTATTTTATTTGCTTTACCACTGCAGGTAAGGAGAATTGAAACAGAAATTTGCGAACAACTAACAATTCACCAAAAACTTAATTAAAACGAAACAGATCAATGATTTTTTTTCATTTATTTGTTCATAAACTAAAACATTACTTTAACTTTTATCCATTATTTGATTCTATAGGAATGCGTTAAGGGGACCCGTGTCACCTGAAAATTTAAGGGGGCCGGTAGCCTTACGTAATAAAACATTTTATTTCCATACATACGTTCACTCCCTGATTTTCCTCTTTGTTATCCTGACAATTTGGAAAATTGTTACATGAGATTTGGGAAAGATGTTCAAGCCATTTGGCATATGATTCAACACAAAATCAAACGAATTTATTGACCGGATCATTAAAGTAATAATTTCTATACAAACTCATAAAAGATGCAGGCATATCACTTAAGATCAAAATACAACTTATCAACAAAATGGTATTTCCAAACGCGTTGTGTGGGTGTGAAAGCTGGGCACTAGGAAAAGCAGAAAAACGGAAGGTACATGCCTTTGAAATATATGCTTGGGGGAAAATATTGGACGTAAAACGGTAGGACAAGAAAAAACAAATGTAGACATTTTGAAACAAAATAAAACCACGATTTTCTCAAGATGCCAAAGTCACTAAATTGAAACTAAAATATTTTGGACATACAATGAGATGAACAGAATCCCTGGAAAAGGATATAATGGTTGGAATGATGCAAGAAAGCAGGAAGAGGGGAAGAAAAAGATCTAGGTGGCAAAATGAAATAATAAAAAAATCTTACATGGCCAGACATAATTAGTGCGTTCAAGACAGAAATCAGTGGAAGAAACAAATATACGTAATCCCAAACAAATCAAGAGGCAGTTTAAGCCCAAGTGAGCCGTGAACAAATGCTTAGCATCATACTGCTTTTTATATCCGATTAGGAAAACGAGGGATTACTTGCGATCTATGTACTACTACTAACGTAATTATTTAATTCTCCTGGTATTACATTTTATTTCATTACTAGCAATGAAATGTAGTTCTTTCTCTGTTGTTTTAAGCTACACCCACCTACGCGTGATTCTTATAAAAGCACTAATAATTATTATGTATGGCTACAAATTGGCAATTTTCCCCTTTGTCGCGAATGTACGCGGAGAGTATTTGGGCGAAACCAAGACCTTTCACAACATAAATGAACATATTGTAAGAATGCCCCTGGGGAAGATTTCTTTTCAAATTTACGCGATTTGTATTCTCTGATTTGAACCATACGTATAAACTGTGGAAATCTAAATTGAGACACATAGGTACGAATTAAGATCTTCCCTAAAATAGACAATTATTACTTTTTCAGAATACGTCGTCACATTTTCTGGGTCGTCCCTGAAATCCGTCAATTCGCACTTGTAAAAAAATTACAATGCAATTCCGAAACAAAATAAGTCATGTTCACCAGACATTGAACATTTTACCACTAATTGTAAATTTTGAATTAAAGCAAGTGAGTATCAGAAAAATGTAACCCTAGATTACATTTTTTCTACTAGTTCAAAGTTGTAAAGAAGATTAGATTTTTACAAAATCAAAAAAGAAATAAAACAAATTATTATGTTTAGGACACGGGTCAAACCAGAAAATATTTCAAGGAGGGGGCAACTTTGCTCTGGATCTCCTAAGTACTTTTGAGGTAGTACATTAACAAAAATGCTGCTTAGTTCGGATATTTTTTAATGTAAATTCATAAAAAGAATACTCCCGTGAAATGATTGTCAGCGTGTGGTAATTGTTGTGAACAAATTGAGAAGAATTACAAACAACATTCGGAATGAAGGGAAGGCTTTGTCCCCTTCTTCTGTCAATGTTTTAAGATTACATAAAATTTTTGTCAAAATACCATACTAACAAACTGGTGGATTCTGAGATACAATGACTGACTGATTCGTGATTCCAATCAATCGCTAAGGTTATTTAGTCCTGCAAGTGTAGTGCATGTTGTTGTTTTTCCTCGGAAGGTGGCGGTGATATTCCCTCACTGGTTGGCGAGATCCAGCGGCGACCTTTACGTCGGCTTGTAGGGTTTCCCCAACCAAGTATCTCCCTCCAGCGAGGCACCGCCTCAGCTTGGACAAGCTCTAAGGTCTAATTGGTCTCCCGTGCGGTAGTGTAATGCACGTAAGAGCAACTGCACGAAAGTAAGGGGTGGGGTGCACGAAAGTAAGAGCATGAAAGAAAGGGTAAATTGATAATAAGACAAAGAAGAGGAAGGAAAGATCGCACGCGGTCCGTGGTCCGTTTGTTATGCTTCGGCATTCGCCTGGTATTGGTCGGAGAAACCATGAAAAACTATCGATTATATCAGCCAGCCGATAGAATTTTCCTCCAGACAGTGTCCGAGTCCGACCTAGCTATTTAACTAGTGTCGAAAATCCTACCTCGGCCGGGATTCCAACACCTTCCGGTCAGAGTCACTGCAGTAACATCAGTTGATGCCCTGAGCCACATCTCTCGGTGTCTCAGGATACCGATCCGGGTGAGATACACAAAACGTAAGTACGACAAATGCAATACGAGGATTTTAGAGAGAGAACTGAAGGTTTTTGAACTGCTTCAGAACGTGATATGCAGTACACCAGTGTATGATACGTTGCCTACCAACCAAGATCAAATGTCACATGTTTAACTCTTTTATCCCGCATTTACCCATTTTTACCCACATTTCATTGGCATAACGTGATTATCTTCGACTCTCTACATGCCCTAGATGTTTGTAATGTTTATGGTGAGACATCATGTAACACTGCAATATTTGCAAGACATTAAATTATAATCATGCTAATTTTGCAAGGCATAATAAAATGTAAATGAAAGATTCTTAAATTCATATCTTACCCTCAAGCATGGGAATTAAAGTAGGCCTAGGCATTGGGGACACCTTTAGCTAGCCGGCAGTCTGACAATTGAGCCTAATGGCAAATACACATTAAATAAATTCCCAGCAACTTTTTTTAAATATCGAAAATAAACTCTATTAAGGTTTTACAATGTCCTTCTCAGTTCTAATACATTGATGCCAGACACGAGTTCGAAACCAGGAATTTAAAACAATTTAATCAGAGAAAATGAGATTTAAGAGAGCTGTGAAGGGTTGTACATCCAGGGATTAAACAATAAAAAGTGAAATTATATGAAGGGAATTAAGTGGAACTGAAACGGTGCATTAAAAAATAAAAATACAGACAGCAATGGGTCGTACATATTGGGAAAACACAGATCCCCAGAGCAAGCTCTGTAGTATAAACCGAGAGGAAATAACATATTTTCAGTCCTAAAAAGTTATGAAATGAGGATGAACTGGCAACAAACCTAATCTGAAAATCACGACGATGATGATGTAAATGATTTTGAAAAAGTGAATTGTTAATGTAGTTGATAATCAAGATACTGTTAAATATCGATGTCAAAGCGAATTCGAAATCAGAGCGTGAAATTGTGTCTGCAATGCTCTGGTATCTCTGTGTTAAATCAGAGTGTGCTGCTACCACACGAGCATTGCAGCAAACATGCGTTTAGAGAAATATATTCTTGTTAGATGGTACTACAATCGCCTCGCTTACATTTGTAACATGACTATTTTATTTTTTGTACGCCAAGAAACATTTATTTTCATTTTACGAGACACGTCTTACAAATGACTTAACCAGACATTAGAACTCTACATAAGTGTTAAACTATTCCTAATATCGCACCTCCAATAGAAAAGTGACACAAGTACGAAATCGTCATTTTTCACCTAAAAGGAGATAAGATGGTTACCAAGAGGTACTGCTACTATTCTGAAGTTGATTTTGAATTAGTTCAATTATTGTCCGCTTGAAGGTGAATAATTGGTACAATCTATAACGAGTATTATAGAACTACGAAACTTAAAATTGCAATTTCTGACAAATCAGAAATTTGCACTTGTGTCACTTTTCTATTGGAGGTGCGATATATAAATATTCATTAAGCTGTATCGAAAAAACGGATTACAATCGGAGTAAATGATAGTTTTGAAAGTAAAAATAAAATCAGTACAAAAGAAACAATATTTACAATGGATTTAGAGGTTTGACAGTTATGGCTACCCAAACTGAATAGTTGCGAACTCAAAAGTTTTACGTTTTGATGACGTGAACTTGTTGAAATGACGTTGCTGTAGCTCTTAACAAAAAATAAGGACGGAAAAGAAAATCGTTTTTGTTAAAAGAAAACTGTCGAAAAAACTCTTTTTCGAAAGTAAGAACGAAAACGTGAAGAGAGACACTTTTACGGATGGTGTGAGATTTGTAAACTCTGCTATCTAAACTACCTTACAGAGTAGAATATTGATAATCCGAACTTTAAAAAATTAAAAATCGAAGTCATTGTTTTTTCGGAAAGGGATAAATAAGAACTGCGTTAAAAAATACTGCTATACACATTTTTTGGTAACTTCTGGAAAACAAGCTTATTTTGACACCTCCATCAAGTAGGCTTATGCTAAACACTGTTTATTTGTGCTACGCACGTTCATAATAAGTTTTAAATATCATACTGTTGCTCGTTTTGTCTCCTTTTAGGTATAGGAAAAGAGATGTAAATGTATCGATGGTATGTTTTTTAAATTAATTACAAAATTAGGTTTATTTTTTATAATCGGAAAAATTAAGTTGTAACGACTCACGACACGTTAGAAAAACAGTATAGCATTTAAGCAAAGCAGGTGCATTGAAACCATATAAAACGTCTTCTTTTAGAATTCTTCTAAAATATTCTTAAGGGATTCAACTACGAAATGTGCCAATTGATTCGTCTTAGCGAGAGGAATAGAATGAGCTATTAAATAGCTGTCAAGGTGCCTGAAGTCCTACAAAAGGCATGCTGGTTGCTCAAAACCTCTCCTCAAGCAAGTTGTTTTCAAGAAATCTCTAAAGAATAATTTGAGTTAATTCTAAAAAAAAGAAAGATTGGTTCCCAACCAGGACGCCGAGACGCGTTGAACCCTTGTTTTCGCTGATTGGGATTGGTGGATTGGAGAGGGTGTAAGCATAAGTGATGAAAACGCAGGTTACTAGATTACTACATGCGTTACACAAGGTCTAAATGAAGACCGTCTCAAGGTCTCATTAAGTAAATGCTGTAATTCATCGATTTCAAAAAGTCACTTACAGTTTTTGACGAAGAGGAGGATATCTGGCCTGATAAGTCAAATCCTCAAAAGCATTACGTCCGCGCTTCGACCATTTTTTCGGGTTATTGTTGCCTGATACGACTAACGACAACAATAACTTTGTTCCAGTTATTGATGAGTTTAGAGATTAAGAGTGGGATATCATTAGGGAGATCAACAATGGACTCCAACGTATTTCCCCCTCTCCATTGTTTAAGTAGTTAGTATTTTCATAGTTCAGTTAGTTCTTTCATAATTAGTTTCATAGTTTGTCATTACTTCCTGTATTTTCATACTCTAGTACCTTTATTACTAGAACTTACTAGCCCAAATCTATTGCTACTTTGCCCTTGCAAATAGTGCCCTTCATCGAAGTGAATACCTGCTTATCAATTAGGTTTAGGGTAGGGATCCCAGAATTAAGAAAAGTGCACAGAATTCACTTCACGTATCACGCCACACACAGTTTTTAACTCTTTGGACTTTCAATAAATAAATAATTCTTTTCTTAATCTTAAATGATAGCTGCGTCTTCCAATGCTTATTAATGGAAACTTGAGCTTTTACCTTACAGCTAGACTTCTCCGTTAATACTTCAAACACTTTAAATACTTCAAACACAAACCTGGGTTTTCAATAGGTTCGCAATATCAGCTTCACTTCCATTTGCGTATCTTGGTTTCGAATTTTATTTTACTTTTTGCACCAGACAATTGTTTAATGTCTGTTATTGTTAGTAGGTACACCACTTTTTTTTATCCTAGTTCACTCTTTTTTAGAGTGGAAATATAAGAGGCTCCCAACCCAATTGATTGGGAATGGATAGAAAAGACGGCACTGTCCAATAGGCACTAAACAGCTCATCAAGAATACATTTGAAAAGTTTCTTGTCTCTTGTATGGTCTTAAATACTTCCATAATGCTGTGTGTAAAACTTGTAGATTTGCAGAGAATATAATGTTTGGCAAACGAGAGAAATAGAAGAGAGATAATGCTTTAACTTACCAAGCGAAGTACACTCGCAGATTGGGGTGCTGGCCAACACTGCTGCCTTCTCTCCAGTTCTACCACTTACAGTGTCTTCTTAGTACTTCTCACCTGTAACAAAATATGCTTGACATAAAAATTCGTTAAATCAAACATTCATTCATTTTAAATTGAAAGAGCCGTCTTTGTAATGAATGATTGGCGTGCGGGTTTCAAATCTCACCCTATATTTACAATTATTTTCAGCATTGCCATTCCTTTGGGCGAATGTAACAACAATGAAAAATCAAATGAAAAACTAAATCTTTAGCTGTATGGATAATGCTTTGACACATGTTTTGTATGTCAGATGCCATTGTTCTTTAACAATGTAGATATGAAAGTTTTCATTCATAAGTTACACACAATTAAGTATTTTTCAGTTCATTTAATTACGTAGTCGTTTACTCTTCATCATTTACAATTAATTACTGATTAAGAAGCAACACAAATATTGCCCTCGTAATATTTCCTCGTAGAGAGTCAAACTGAACGAATTTGAATACGGAGTGTGCATTTGGAGCAATGAATTGGAATTTACACTTAAATACTATAGCAATGTTAAACACTGTATTTCACGTATAGTTTCATACAATGAAATAATACACGCACAAGAAAGAATGTATCGCTACTCTAAACAAGAAACTCGCTCCTATCCCAGCCTCAACGACGTGACGTCAACGATGAATTGAGTTGCATTGATGCCGTAATTTACGTGGTGAGACTCGGGCCAGGAGGCCTGCTCATCCGTCTAACCACGGAAATTTCGCTACGCTCCTTTTACCAACTAGCGAAGAGAGGAGGTATTTCTTGGGCCACGAAACAGGCGATTTTAATTTAGCTCAGAGGCTACGTCATTTAGG